CTTGTGAACGCCCAGGCCCGATAGCAAAACCCCCTCCGAAAAAAAAAAAAAAAAGGATCTGGAGAGAGTTTTGTTTTTGCCTCTGCAGTAAATAAAGCATATTAAACCTATTATAAGCTGAAAGGAAGCAGCAGTAGAAAAGGAAAAGATGGCTTTGAAGAAATACAAGAAGAAAATCATAACTAATAGGATATGTTTGAGGAAGCAACAAGAAGAAAAGGGATCAAGAGCTGCAGTAGAAGAGCTCCACTGTGGGAAGAGGTGAAACACGGCCTGAAGGAAGGTTCCAGAAGTTGGAGGTTGCATAGATACTGTTGTGTATAGATGGGCTTAGAGGCTGGATTGTTTGATTCAGCACTACGTTTTCAGAACAATAGCACTTTGGTGGCCAGTTTCATAACTGAGGCTAAAAGGAAAGCCCTGCCCAAGATCACAGGACAAGTCTTTTAGCATAAAGCTCAAAAATGGCTCAAATAGAAATAAGTGAATTTATTTATTTATTTATTTGCAAAAACTAACTTTAAATATCATTAGAACATAATCTCCAAGCAAACTATAGATAGTGTAATCTATATGTAAATACTAGGGGGCTTTCACATAAAAAGGGAATTAAAAAATTTTACTTAAAAATGGGATTCAAGTACAAGTATATTTTGGTGCAATACACTTTTGAAATCTATGCAGTCTTTTCATAATACACATTTTCATGAACTTTTCAGCCCCCCGCCCCCATAGGTTAAATACATACTGGGTCACCGGGCAAGTCGTGATGCATTTTTGCGTAGGAAACCTACATCATGTCTTTGCTAGCGACCTATAATTCTTAGTTTCAGACACACAGTATTGACATGTATCTGTTTGCACTCTTATGAAGCAAATTAATATCGCTATTTTACACATTTTTAAGAACTTTCACACACTCTTCAGGTTGACAGGTGATTTATATCTACTCATGTTTACTAACAGCAAAAGCCAGTTCAGACTTCCGCTAGCCAGTTCACTGAAAACCACATCAAAATGGTTTATGGATTAAAAACTTGAAAAAATATAAAGATACCTAAAGCAGAAGTAGGCTGCCCCGAGGTTTCGTTAGGCAGACGGGCCATGTACACACTCTGCGGGATTTCCTCTTAGGTCTAAGTACCTGGATATTTCCGAGCTAAGTTTAGGAAACACCTCTCAAGTGTATTTGAATCATGAAATTAAATAGAGTACCTGTTGACAATTTCAGCACTACAAAGTCTGAAGCGATTTTTCATGAAAGCACAGAATCTTCTCCTCACTGTTATTTCCTTGCCAATGAGATTTAAGATCAGAAACTCAGGTGTTCTTTGACTCAACCAATATTCTAGCATGCCGACTGAGAGCTGAGCCCTGTGGGAGGCCCTGTCGGAGCAGAACCTGAGAGAGACCAAGCGACACACCTGAAGGAATGTTCTCTTCAGCTTAGCCACGAGAACTGAGAGTATAAACGGTGTTAGTCGTTTTCCTGAAAATTAGGTTGCTGCGTCTGTGCTCTGAACAGGGACTGACTTGGGCTATGTGTGATGACTTAATCCAGTATTCAACAGTGGTAGGTTATTGTGTTAAGAAATGCATTGCCAAGAACTTGTTTTTGGCAATCACAGGTACTTCTATTTTCCAAGTTCAAGAATTGAAAGGACATATTATGTGATGTATCAAAACACAGTGTTAACCTGATTGACACTTTTTCTTTGTATCAAAAATAATATATTAATTTGAAGTGAGCTTATATGCCCATTATTATAACCTATCATTTGTAACATATCATAAAGAATAATATTTTATCTTCAAAATAGTAATACAAAATACATGTATAACTAATAAGGCCTAAAATAATCACATAGATTCAATGAAGAGCAGTACGCTACATGGAAAATGAAAACATAAATCAACAATAAAATGTAATGGATATACAGAATATAGCCTAGGAGTTAAGCATGTAAAAACGATTAGTTTCCTTTTACTATTTATTCATTGATTCTGTTCATAGGAGAAGCATAGCTTATGAAATGAAATAAACCAGCAGTCTTATTAAAACTTCTATAGCATGCAAAATTTTAAAAAAAGAGAAAAGCCTTTTAAACTGTAACATTCACTGTTTGTATGCTTAAACTGCCATACGGTCACAGAAATGAAAAAAATGCTAATTTTCAAATAATCAAAAAGAAATCAAATCAAAAAGTATGCTATTCCAAATTGAACAGAGTAAACATTTATGATAAAATGTTGGAACACATCCTCCAATCAGAACTGTCTACTACTACAGAGAACACTTTCGCTAGCACTATGTCCAAAGCGTCCGCTACAGTAGGTAAACAGTAATCTATAGAATTGAAAGGCAACGGCTGTTAGATCAATGTACCTACCTCCCACTAGCATTAGCACACGGAGTCCCAAAATGAACACCAATAATCTCAAAAGATACTGATTGTAAAAATAAATAACTTTGCAGTTAGCACGTGGCATACTGATTAATGTGCTGGATGCCCACATAGATGACCGTAGTTTCAGTCCCAGCCCTGGGGGCTGGAATATCATGCTAGGAGCATGTGCATGCACCCCCAAATTCCCAGGAGAAGGAGAAGTTGAGGTGTGGCCATCTCCCCTTGGGGGATGATTTTTCAGTTTTCTCTCATCATCTCTCTCTGTGGTGAGTGCACACATCCTATGGCAAAAACTTTTAGAAAATTGTTTTTAAATAAATATCTTTTCCCGTTCAGTTTATATGAGCAAGTTAGAATCCCCAGGCATTCTAGCATCTACGTAATTATTCTGTACGACAGTAGAGACACAAAAATCCTACCAGAGCTTTCACTGCCGAGCAAGAGAAGTGGGGGTGGGGAGGAGGGCTCAGCCCCGGAAGCCTGAGTCCACATCTGGAAAAGTGAGGTCTACTTCCTTTCCTCAGCTCCTTACTCAAGTGCAGCGTGGTGATGCAGAGCGTGGACTCAAGGGTCAGGCAGACAGAGCTGGGCTCGGGGAACTTACCCAGCCAGTGTGCGAACTTGGCCAAGTAAGTAACTTTACTAAGCTTCAACGTCATCAGTCAAACATGAGAAGAAGAGACCCTGGTTATAAGGCTGCAGTGAAGACACAGAGAGCCTCACCAAGCACCAGAGACAGCAGGTCATGGTTCTCGCGGTGTTCCTACTACAGTCACATGGGTTCGGACAAGAACACGCTCCTCAAGAGATCAGTATGATTCTAGATTTTATATATATTATGGTGTGTGTGTGTGTGTGTGTGTGTGTGTATAAGGTTTTTGCCATAAGGGTGTGTACACTCACTGGAGAGAGGGAAAATGAGAAATCACTCCCTAGAGGGGGTGGCCATGCTACAATCCCTTCTCCTCCATTCCCCTCCTGGGATTCTGGGCATGCACACATACGCATCTGGCGTGATTTTCAGGCTACCAGGTCCAGGATTCGAACTGAGGTCACTCATGTGAGAATCTAGTGCCTTAACCACCGTGTCACCTGATGGCCCCTACCTATATTTTCTGAATGTCGAATTTGGGGAACCCATCTCTCATAAGCTGGCATCTGTTAGGGGATTCTCTTAATCAGTACGAGAAGGGCGTTGTCACTTACCTTGTCATTTACTACACTCTTCCCATCCCAAGCCCATCCTCTCTTGGTGAAGTAATTAACAGTTGCAAATTCAATCAGAGCCGAGAACACAAAGGCGTAACAGACAGCAATGAACCAGTCCATGGCGGTTGCGTAAGCCACTTTGGGGAGAGAATTCCGAGCGCTGATGCTCAGTGTTGTCATTGTCAGGACAGTTGTCACTCCTGCAAAAAAAAAATAAAAAGAACAGAAACCAGAAACATCAGTAAGTATTAGTGGGACAGCACTGCGAAGTAGTTTTTCTGTTCTCTGTCGTGCCAAAGCTACTTTCGATGCCACTGTAATACAATAAACAAAAGAAGAAGAAAAAGGAAAGGGAAAAAAAAAATCACTGGATGAAAACAGTACAGAATTAATTCTTCTACGTGGGTACAGTATTTTAGACTCTGAAAATGCTTTCGGGCTTCATTTTTATTCTGTTCGCCTCACTTCATCGCTTCTTAAATACTGCTGAGGTTAAGAAGGCGGTTGTGACTGAAGGTCCCCGAGGAGGAGAAGCAGGTACTCTGAATGGCCATCGCCAGGGAGCACCAACTTAAACCGACCCCGCGAACGTCTCCCGGGAGTGTGTCCCCTTTATCTGCACCACCCTGAGCAGTGAGCCAGTCACCCCATCAGCGATCACAGCGGAGCGGGGTGACGCGCTCCACTCAAGTCCAGTTACATAAGCATAACATTAATTCCAGATGGCTTGGCATTGCGAGGATATCATTTTTATAACCTAACTCAGGATTTACAGAAAATGAAATGGCAAACATGGCATCTGTGATTGGTCATACACAACGGGCACACCTTGAAAATCCTTTTGGTGTCCCACAGAGAAGTACAACCATTAAATATACAAGAGATTACAAAATAAGGTCAAATAGACAAAACAAGCTAGTAAAACAAAGCCTTGCGAAATATACATTGCTACTTAAAAATGATTTCTTTCTTTTTGTTTAGAGAGATGTTTGCTATAGAGGACATGAGCTTGCCAGAGAGACAGAAAGTGAGAAATCACGTCCCCAGGGGGATGGCCACACCACAATCCCTTCTTTTCCAGTCTCCTCTCAGGATTTGGGGCATGTATGCACACATGCCCAGCATGAGTTTTAAGTTGCCAGGTCTGGGATTTAAACTGTAGTCAACCAGGAGGAAGTCCTGCAATGTAACCATTCTGCCACCTGCTGGTATACACACACATATACACATATATACACATAGACACACACGTACATACATATATATATATATGTAAATATAGATGTATCACACACATATATATTACACACACATATATATCACACACATATATTACACACACATATATAACACACACACACATATCACACACACACACATATATTACACTTTTACACTTGTTTGGTTTAAAATCATAATTAGGCCGGCTGGAGGCATGGCGGTTGAGGGGCTGCATCCATGACCAGTGTGGTTCCGGTCCCAGGCCCAGTGACTTGGGGAACATGCTGGCGTGTAAACATGTGTGTCCCAAATCCCCAAAGGAAAAATGGGAGAGAAGCGACCGCAGCCTGGCCGTCCCTCACGCAGGGGCGCAGTCTCATTTTCCCTCTTTATCTCTGTCTCTTTCTAGAGAGCACATGCACTTTCTGGCAAAATGTAAAAAAATAATAAATGATGAATTTAAAAATCAACTTATTTTTCTTGTATAGCTTTACTGTCGGCAGTCAAGGCAGCCACCTATGTTAAGAAAAATTAGGTTTAATCAGAAAGTTTGCCCTGCCCACACTGGCTGGCTGTAATTACCTGATTACCAGAGAGCCAGTAGAAGTCTAATTATGAACACGGAACATTTTTCAAAAAAAGAAAATGGGGACCAGCAGTTGGTGCAATGGCTATGCTGCTGGACTCCCATGTAGTCAGCCGCAGTTGGAGTCCCGGATCAGGTGGCTTAAACTCAACACCAGGCGCGTGTGCGTGCGTGCCCAAGATCACGAGAGGAGAATGGACGAGAAGGGACTGCAGCGTGGCCATCCCCCCTTGGGGGGTGATTTCTCCCTTTCTGTCTCTTTGTCTCTCTCTGTCCTTCTGGAGAATGCACGTGCCCTACAGCAAAATCCTCTCCCCCCACTGCCCACCCAATAAAAAGAGAAAATGAAAATGTTAAATGCTCATTCCTGTTTTGAAGCATTTGTATCTTATTTTTTCATTTTCTTTCAGGATAAAGCAACTTTGTCTCCTTCCTTACAATAGAGTTAGCTATAATTTTATTTAATCATGAATGACTCCATCTGGGGACATGATGGTAGCAGTGTGAATAAAAGGCAGGAAGTAAATTTAGCTCACCTGCTGCTGAGTTATTAGTAAAAACACTTACAGAGACATTGTGTTCGCATGCATCACACTGTGAAAGGCTTTAGCTTGGGAAGCTGCTTTCTTTAGAGTCCTTTGTACAGAAGGGGAAATAAATAGACTATAAGGCAGATACACATATGTATACATGTATATACTGGGTATGTACAGGCATGCATGTATGTGGACATAAACAATACAGAAAATGAAAATGATCATGTATGAAGATATATTCAACTTTACCAGCAGTCAAGGAGACATAAACAAAGAAGTAATGAGAAGCTTTTCAGAAACTAACGCTATCACCAAATGTTGGCAAAACTTACGAAGACTGATCTTCCCCTGCACTGAGGAGGTGGGGCCGCGGACGTGCTCCTCAACAGTGATCACACATCCGTGTCGTAGCTAAGAAACGACTGCATACCCCAGATGACGAAGACAGAGGCCAATGTCTCTTCTGCATTTTAGTTGTCTTAGTTCTTACATTTAGGTCTTTGGTTCATTGCCAGTTATTTTTTTAAAAGAATTTATTTATTCATTCATTCATTTTAATTTGACCAGAGAGAGATACACACACTCATACACACAGAGAGAGAAAGTGAGAAAGCAAGCCACCATATCTGGGACTCGACCATGGTGGGCCACGTGGGAGTCTTCAGTACCTTAACCACCGCCCCACCTGCTGGTCCCAACTGGCTGTTAATTTTTGAATATGTGAGGTAAATGTTCTCATCCATTCTTTTGCATGTTGATAAGCTCAAACATCATTTGCTGAGAAAATTTTGGATTCCCCCTTAAATCATCTTGGAAATTTTGTTGAGAATCAGCCAGCCACAGCCACAGATAGATGGCTTTATGCTTGGACTCTACCTCAATGCCAGTTTCGCACTATTTTAACGACTGTACCTTTAGAGTAGGTTTTGCACCTGGGAAGCCCGAGTCCTTTTTTATTTTGAGTCAATTATCCTGTTCTTTCTCAAGAGTGTTTTGGCTATTCAAGGTCCTTGATATTTCTGTGCGATTAATCATGGTCAGTTTGCTCATTTCTGCAAAAAAGACCACTGGAATTTTGGTAAGTATTGTATTAAATCTGTATATTGTTTTGGGTAAAATATGAAATCTTCCCATCTTCAAATGAAGAGATTATTTTTCCATTAGATAGATGGATAATAGATAGATGGGTGATAAACAGATCAATCTCTACATATAATCTATTTAGAGCTTCTTTAATTTCATTCAGCAATGTTCTCATTTCAGGATAACAGGGTTTTCACCTCCTTGGTTAAATGTACTTAATAGTATTTCATTTGTTTGGATGCTAATGTAAGTGGAATTTTTTTGGAACTTCCTTTCAAATTGTTCACTGCTGGTGTATAAAAACACAATTGACTTGTGTGTATTGATTTTGTACCATGCAACTTTGCTGAATTTGCTTTATAATTCGAATACTTCCTTTGTGGTTTAATAAGAGTTTTCTATTTATAAGACTATGTCATGGGCAAACAGATTTTTACTTCATCCTTCCCAATTTGCATTCCTTTTATTTGTTTTTCTTACCTAGTGTGCGGGCTAGGTCCTTCAGTACAGTGTACGATAGAAATGGCAAGAACAGACATTCATGTCTTGCTCCTGATGTTAGGAAAAAAGTTTTTAATTCTTTTAAGTATAATGTTAGTGATGGGCTTTTCTTAGATGTCCTTTATCAGGTGGAGAAAATGCTCTCCTTTTAAAACACATGCTTATTTATTTACCTCTTCTATGAGAAAGCAGACAGAAAAAAAAAGGACAGACAAAAAGAGAGAGGAAGCCCACCGACAGGTCTTGACACTGACCCATCCCAAACCTCAGCCAGCCCTAGATCCCCGGATCACAGGTGTGGCATCCATAGGGAGGTCTCCAGACACGAACCAAGACCCTGCCCATGTGTGCTGGCCTCACAGAGCATCTCTTGTTACTGAAGACCCTGCCCATGTGTGCTGGCCTCACAGAACATCTCTTATTTCTTCTGTGCCACCCAACAGACCTGAGAAAGTCTCTTCGATTCCCGGGTTGTTGAGTGTTTTTATCACTAAAGACTGCTGGATTTTGTCGAATGTTTTACTGTCTACTGAGATGACTGTGTGACTTTTCCCTCACTTTCCAGTAAATATATTGCATTGCGTTAGTTGATTTTATGTGTGGAACCAACCTTCTGTTCCCAGGGAATATCTCACTTGGTCATGACATAATCCTTTTGAAATATAGATTATTTTTGGTTTGCTAGTGTTCTGTTGAGGCATTTGAGGCTGAGGCATTTGAGATGAATATTCATAAGGAATATTAATCTTTAGGGTCTTCATTTTTTTCCCCTGTGATTCCTTTATATTGTTCTGATATCTTGGTAATATGAACCCATATGATGAATCAGGAAGCACTCCTTCCTCATCTATTTTTTGGAAGAATTTGGGGAAAATCTATGTCATTTCTTTAAATGTTTAGTAGAATTCACCAGTGGAGCCATTTGGCCTTGAACATTCATTCATTCATTCATTTATAGAGAGAATTTTGCTATAGGGCATGTGCACTCATTGGAGAGACAGAGAGAGAAAGTGAGAAATCATCCCCCAGGGCGTTGGCCATGCCACAATCCCTTCTCCTCCATTCTCCTCTCGGGATTTTGGGCATGCACACACATATGCACCTGGCATGAGTTTGAAGTAGCCAGATCTAGACTCAAACCGTGCTCAACTACATGGGAGTCCAGTGATATAACCAGTATGCCATCTGCTGTTCCCAACCCTTGAGCTTTTCTTGATTGGAAGATTTTCATTACAAACTTCATAGTTTTGTTTATTATCAGTTTATTCAGAAA